AACCCCTAAACCCTAAAAAAAACCAATGGGCTTAGGCCACTTCTCTCTGGGATTAAGGCCAAAAGCTCAGCTCACCGAAGAGAGGGGTGCCTAATTTGGGTTATATGGGTTCTATAGGGGAAATATGGGGTTATATAGGGATTATATAGGGGTTATTTAGGGGTTATTTAGGGGTAATATGAGGTTAGATAGGGGTTGTATAGAACAATTCTTTCTCCGAAGAGAGGGGTCTTCTCTGAAGACGGAATGCCTATCTTTGTGCACACCTTCTGCTTGGGACGCTGTCCTGCTGGTGCTCTCCAAATTCTTATGACTACTGCTGGCTCTCTGATTTTCAGCACTAACCGGCAACGCTGCATGCTTCCAAACTGAGGTGGTGGATCCCAAGCCAGATGCCTGCTGCAGACCTTCCTGTGTTTGGAGTTGCTTCGACTTCTATCCCAACGACAGGCAACTTTCTATGAGGATGTTCCGTTTATTCTTATTATTATTCCAGCTACCAGGTTACCATTTTTTACTAGTACTATTACTGTTTTATTACAATGAAAAAGTCGGTCCCTTTTGAGGTGTGCTCAGAGCCAGGTCTTGCTTGGCCTGAAACTGCTCTCAACATGCCAGTATGCCCATGTCGTGAGCTTCCAGGTTTACCCGAACGCAGTGCAGGTTTGTTCCGACATGAGGCATACCCTAAACTCCTTACAGGGGGTTATTTCGCGGAGTATATAGGGGACTGCTATAGGGTTATTAAGGGGATACTAGGAGTTTAGACTCTAGGCCACATTAAAAAGCCATGAGAGCGCACCTCTACTCATCTGGTACCCAGTAGTTTGTTGGTCAGGATAAGGTCAGGGTTCTTTGTTGCCAAGTATTTCCCTTGTGAATAACTTTTTTCCCCAGTGTTCTCCTTTCAACCTCATCTGAGCTATGGTCTAAACTCCCTCAAGGGGGTTATATAGGGGTGTTTATAGGGGAGTATTGCTACAGGGGTAATGAAGGGGGATACTAGGAGCTCAGACTATCTGCGCTCTGCAGGCGGGTTCGGCACCTGCTGTGTCCACTCTTCGTGATGCATGGCCAGCGTGACGACATCATCCCCTTCTACCATGGCCTGCGACTGCATAAGGCTGGAGTGTCATTGTTATCTGGGTGGAGATTGGGAAGAGCTGCGGTTCGACGAAATGCTGATGCTGAGAGCAGTAGTGAGACTAAAGGCATTCAATTTTGGAAGGGTGAGGACAATCTTAGACTACCCATGATGCTCATACAAACAGGACTTGACCGAACATGCGCGAGCAAAGTCACCATCGTCTTATCAGCAAAATGCACATCTTTACAGAAGCGCTGGTTCTTTGTTACGGTGCTCTTGTGAGCTGCACCTTGCAGTGCTTTGCAGGCTTGCCCAAAGCAACACCGGTGGCCTGGCTACTTCCCCACACGCGCAGGAGCGGGACCAGATTGGTTCAGCCTTACTCATTCTGACGTATTACTATTATTACTATAATTACCTGTTTCAGAGTCAACCAGGTACGTGTTTGAAGGAGCCCCTCGAAATGGGAACCTTAGTATGTACCATGGGCGGTACGGAAAAAACAGATGTCCGTTTTCAGCAGTGCTTTGCTTCCGGCTCTGCCATCCGCTTTTGACCTTCATGCTTTGACATGACGAGTCCAGAGAAGAAGTTAGGCTCATGTGGGCAACACAGCAGTAGGAGGGAACACAGGGGCTCCCCAAACCCCTAAACCCTATACCCCTAAACCTTAAACCCCTAAACCCTAAATACCTAAACCCCCAAACCCTAAACCCCTTAACCCCTAAACCCCTGTAACCCCCTTAACCCCTAAAGCCTGGTGGTGGCAAGGCCACAACGATCTGGTGGAAACCGACATGCGAGCCTACTTTGGGGAGGCCAGGTGCCACCAGAGACATGGTAGTTTCCATAAGTGGGGGGGACCCCAGTATAGACCCCCATATGGGGTTTAGGGTTGAGGGTTTAGGGTTTAGGGTTGACGGTTTAGGGTTTAGGGTTCAGGGTTTAGGGTTTAGGCCTTCCTCTCGGGATCCCCAGATTGTTCTAATTTTCGGACTGCGCATGTTTTCGGCTTGTGTGAGCTATGCACATTGAGGGGGTAATCATCAGGACTGAAGCGAGGGCTCTGGCACGCGCGGCCAGTCAGGATTTCCAGATTGCTTTAAGATGTCGCATCATACGGTATTATAAGGGGATGCCCGCAAGGGACCATCCTCTTCAGACCAAGCTATATATGGGGGTTGCCCTAAATTAGAGGTACCTTTTCTGGGGGTCCCCGTAATAAGGATTGTAGAATTTGGGGGTCTATTTTGGGGTACCCCTATATAGGGAAACTACCATATATATTCCTACGTCAGAAAGTATGCGAAGTCTTAGTGCCAGAAATCCTTGATTACACCCTGAAAGCTTCATGCACACCCTAAACCCTAAACCCATGGATATACAAGTCAGGCTTCCTACGCCACATAACTCATCTTGCGGTCAGGCTCACATTCCCTGCGATTCTTCAATACCTGGAGCCCTAAACGTAGCCCAAAACCCTTAAAACACAGTCCAAAAGGCTAGTATTCTACATACTTTTGGGGTTCAGGTAGCCTCCAAACAATCGTGGTCACCCTAAACCCTAAACCCTAAATCCGTCACCCATTTGCGCACCCAGCGTTGAGACTTGCTGGGCTCAGGTCTCCAGCTTCCTTCAGGACGTCCGGCAAATTGCCAGGGGCCAGAAGGTGGGGTAGAATGCCACAGCCCATCTGTTACATTAATAGGAAGAATAGAGTATACGTATACTATAGTATATTATACAGTATAAAACATACTATAGTATAGTACAAATACAGTATATTATAGTATATTACATTGCAATGATGTCGAAAGTTTCTTTCATTTTCGCTGGCACCTTTGTTTATGTTTACGCATGAAGACGTTTAGTTGTTCTTTGAAAGCAAAGGCTGACGCTTAAGGATTGGGAATAGAAGAACAACTCGCGCACGGCAGGTCGAACCCCCCTTCGACAAGCCCCCACAGGCTTGGCTGTTTCGCTTCTGTGGATTTGGGGGTCCCTTTTTGGGCTGTGCCCATAATCATAATGAGGATTATAGGGGGCTTTATAGGGCCTCTATAGGGATATTAGGGGATAGATAGGGTTTAGGGTTTCCCCACATTAGGGGGTCCCTTTTTGGGGATCGGTCTATATTGGGGCCAAAGATTTTGTGACACTGCCATTTCTGCGAAGCGTCGGGTTGACTGCAGGATTTGGGCTTGGAATCTGCCGAGGAACACGCAAGGCATATACACAAGCGCTAGCACGGGCTTGGCACATATCTTGTTTGTTTAGGGTTTAGGGTTTAGTTTAGAGTTTAGTACCCTAAACCCTAAACCCTTTAGGCCCCTTATTGGAGATCCCCTGAGACCCAGATGCCAGGTTGAGATGTCGGACGTGTCGGCCAATGGCCACGAAACGGTGAAGGTTGGTCCCGAGGCCAGGGAAGCAATGAGTGCTTTAATAACAATATGAGCAATAATCTAGACTCCTTAAAGGGGGGGTTGTAGAGGGGATTACTGTAAATCGGGGAGCATCATAGGGGTTGTTAAGGGAGATACTCGGAGGATAGACTATAGCTCAGATATTCGCAAGGACTCTCAACCTTTTGTGAGGCATTGTCCGTCTTCAGCAACTTTTACCTCATCCTTCAATAAACTTGTTTGAGTTTAGGGTTAGGGTTTGGGGTTTAGGGTTTGGGGTTTAGGGCTTGGGGTTTGGGTTTAGGGTTTTTGGTTTAGGGCATAGTTTAGTGCCCTGCCTCAGAGGCAGGCCGCGCATGTCAGTTTGCTGCAGGATGGCCGCTACCGGCAAATGCGCCAAGGCAACGTCCTGGCGCCAGAGCCCCTGAACCACTGGGTTGCTGTTGAGGAACTTGAAGTTATCATGATTTAGGTAATATAGTAGATAAAGGACTTCCGCAATATGATATATAAACCCTAAACCCCTAAACCCTAAACCCTATAGTAAGTCCAAGTAATACCCAGGAACTCGTCTTTGCCTCCTTCCCATCCCTCTCCATCTCTTCCTCTCTTCCTCGAACGACTCTTAAAGACCAGGCGCACGCATACTTGCCTGGCTGCAGCCCGTGAAAACTTCAAAGGAACACCCTTGCCAGGACCTTCCTTGTACCCCTTAATTGGGGATATATGGTCCCTAAGAATGGGAAGTTAGGCCCTAATTGACTAGAGGGTAGGAGGAGGGTCTAGGTATTAGAAGAGGCCCTGGCAAGAGAGCCTGTTTTTGTTTCTCCGCTGGCTAGCACCGACAGCAAGGATGAAAGAATGGATCCTTACAGTAGTCAAATAGAATCCATCATAGCCCTTTCCATGTTCTTTTCCATTCCTTCATTCCCAGCTAGCCAAAGGTAAGTCTCTCTCTCTCTCTCTCTCTCTCTTTCGCTCTCTGTCTCTTTCCATTTTCTTCTCCATTCTTTCTAAACCCTAAGCCAGTCCTAAACCCCAAGCCGTGTACCCCTAAACCTTAAACCCTAAACCTTAAACCCTAAACCCTAAACCCTAATACTTAAACCCTAAACCCTAAACCTTATATTAACCCATTATGGTAGTTTCCCTTATCCTCTGAGACAGCTCTGAGGCCTGGCCGCGAGGCTTTTGGCTTTAGCTTTCGAGCTGTCTCGAGCTGTTTCGGAAGGGTTCCGTGGTTCCAAGGTTTAGGGCTTTAGGGTTTAGGGCTTTAGGGTTTTGTGTGGGGATGAAGAGTTTTGGGGTTTAGGGTTTAGGGGGTTTAGGGACAAAAGCTGTAGGGGGCTCTAAAGGCTAGGCTTTAAGGATGTTGAGGTGGGAAGGTCAAGGAAAGCATCATGGTCGGTAGGGCCTGAGTCTACTGAATGGGTCGCTGGGCTGCATAGATTTCAGGCCCGGTCTCTTGGAATGCAGGAAAGGCCTCCGTAGCATGCAGGGTGAATGCTCCCGGCGTGATGCAGAGTTGTCTATTCATGGGTTCCCCTACTACCCCCCCCTACACTACCCCCCCCTAGGTTCCCCCTTAATTAACCTTAATTAGGCGTAATTATCCCTAAATAACTTTAATTAAGGGGGGCACCTAGTGGGGGGTAGTATAGAGGGGGGTAGTAGGGGAACCCATGATCTATGGGGCTCACTATGGGGATTCACCTCCTCAGTGCCACAGAATTGAGCTGTTCCGGACTCTCTCATTCAGAAAAGGATCAGTCACCTGCAAGCTAAGGGTTCAATTGGGCTCATGTAAGTTTTTCAGGGTTTAGGGTTTTTTTGAGGGAAAAGTTGCATTTGAGCATTTGATTCCATCTTTGGGAGGGATATCAGCAGTCCTCCCACGCTGTTGAAACCATCGTGCTGCCAGGATGGCCAAGCAAGAGAAGTGGCGCAGCAGTGACAAAAATCCAAAAAGTAGCGTTGTCATCGGCCATGGCTCCTCCATAACGAATGTGACTCTGATTGGTTTGGGATTCTTCCATAGTAGTCATATTCCGTGTTGTAATTACACAGGATTCTAGAAGATCATCACGTCTAACGAAAATCCCCGCCGCGGGCTGAAATTATCAAGGTCTTTTTTGTGGTGGGAAGACTTCCTCCGAACTTATTCCTTAAATGTCTCCAGTATCCGAACAAAGGATGGTAGCATTAGTTATCGCCGGGAGGTGCGTCGAACACCACCAGACAGTAAGAAAAGGGCTCTTTGCGAAAAGATGTGAAGCCTTAGAATCCAAAAGGCCATGCATAATGATCAGAAGAAGGTGTTGACATACTAAGGAGTAGGGGACCAGCCACGCACTTGCCGTTCTTTTTATAGAGCGCCGCAGCACCTGCGTTTCACCCGAGCACGAAAGTTGCGCCAAGCCAGAAATCAGTCCTTGTGCCTTTGTCCAAGCATTAGCAAAGAAGGGAATACATTATATATGGGTGAGAAAGGGAGTACATTTCCATGCTCCCTACTGAGAACCAGTAAGCTTACCAAAGCACATTTTATAGCAAACTCCGCATACGAGGGGTAATCAACAGCAGTCGTCCGAGAAGTCCAAATGCGTGCCTTCCTGTGACCCTGTGCCATCTCCTTCCTCATGATTCTTATTCTTTTTGCAGCCGTAGCTTAGAGTAGCTTCCTCAACCCTAAACCTTAAACCCTAAACCCTAAACCCGCTTGCTTGTTCTGTTACAGATGCTACCGGTGTTTTCCTCAAGCAGCTGAGTTCGTAGACCAGGGCCGACTGGACAATCTGATCATGGCGGCCACGAAGGCCATGGCAGCACTGTCCTGCTATTAGCCGTTGTAATGCAGGACTGTTACCTGCAGCTGTCAGCACTTAAAGGCAGTTCACGATGCATTTTAGACTTGTCCCAATCCTGTCTCGTTGTTGTTGCAAGGCTGCGCAAATGCGAGTCACCATTGGAGGCAGGATTCGATTACTTTGCTGTTGCCTGTGCTGCTGCTACTAAACTTGCCTCTTCTTCTAGTCGTAAGACCTTACACAACTAGTACAGCGAGGGCACCTGGTACAAGTTTTGCCACACCTCCAGCTGCTGCTGCCGCTACTTCTACCACTACCACTACTACTACTAATACTACTACTACTACTACCACCACCACCACTACTACTAGTACTACTGCTGCAGCTGTTGCTGCTGCTGCCGCCGTCACGGTGGCAATTACGATAAAGGGGCTGGAGAGTGCCTGCGCCAATCGAGCTGCAGCAAGTTCGTGGCGCAGTTTTGGGATCCAAGGTATGAGCAGGTAAAATGCAAGATCCAGTAGACCAAAACAGGTTTGACTCCGAGCAAATGAGAGTATTAGTACACCCTTCAAACCGTTACGCCCCAGCTGACCCCAACAGGTGTCCAGGTAGTGGCCAACTCTGATAGACCCGGTTCACAACTCTCATGCCTGCTAATGGCCAAGTGTAATATTGCCGCCTCGTTTGGGTGCCATGGACGTGTCGGGGGATGGCCCAGCATCCGTGCACCTCCGCCCGAAGCAACGGCAAAAACGCGGCTGCCAAGAAGTCTTGGCAAGTGGTGAGCCAGAGGAAAATCAAGTCATGACGAGCAGTGAGCCAGACAAAAGGCGACGACAGTTCCAGGCTCTGCCCTCTACCCCTTTCGATGCGTGCCCGATGTGGAACTATTGTCCATCACGCCATGTGACTGGTCGGATTTGCCAGAGGAACCAACTGAGCGACAAGACGTGTCAGCGCCAGCGTCGGGGTCATCAGCTGCATCCTCGGTCAGGCCGACGCCACTTGCGTCGTCAGCAAGCTCTGCTGAACCTGGCCTTGCTCCAGCTCCGAGGAAGAAGGGCGTCGGCTTCAAGTTTGCAGACGTACCACCCGGCCGATCCAGGAACTACAAAAGAGAGCTAGTTCGCTTCCTATCGCCACATCCTAAGTTGCCAGGGTGAAATGCTCAGTTTGCTTTGTTGTCCTTATGCGTGTTGTTTTGAACTTCTTGGTCTCTGACTGCACATCTGCTTCGAACTTGTAGCTTTGGGACACGTGTCGCCTGAAGCGGCTCATCTTCGTGCCTCAACCATGTTACATAGCATGCTAGGCATTGCTTCAGGGGGCGCTGGATGTTTGCGTGGGAAAGCCCCAGAAGGGCACGAAAATAGGAACCTATCCAACAATGTCTAGACCTGAAGGATTGCGCTTCGCCGGAATATTTGGTTGCGCAAAATGATAGTACATAACTTACATACACCGAGCGTGATTTTTGCGCCTTTTCCTGTGAGTCTGTTGGCGTCAACATGTCCAGTTGAGGGTCTGGCGCCTGCTTTGGTGGTAGATCCACTCTTGCGTATGCGTCGTGCCGATTCAAGGCGGAAGTTCCACAAGCAGCCGGAGGAGCCAAACCTCGAGAAATACGAGACCATCCAGCTGTCGGACAGCGAGTTTAGGTCTACGGTTACTGGGTTCTTGTTTGGGAACTTAATTTAAGTTACTAGCGTGGGGAACCATTTTAGATACTATATATTATATATACCCATGATGGTAACTTGATTTAAGTTCCTTAACATCAACCCAGGTGACGGTGCCTCGCATGGGCCCGAAGATGTATCAGGGCGAGGTGTGCTCTGAGAAGAAGTGGGCGGAACATTCGGCCGCTTCGGCTTTTTTTGCTGACCCTGAGATTCAGTGTGAAGTTGCCAACCTAGAGCCATCTTATAGTCGACCTGGCTCCCAGAAGTATGATGAGCGCTTTAAGCTCAGGAGCAAGGCATTCCGAGAACGCAAAGCGTCACAAGCCAGCTAGTTTCACTCCCGAGCAGCCCTCATCGAACGATCAAGTCGCATCCGTGCCAAAGAGTGACAACTCAAGCCGTCCTCCTGAGCTGCATATGAAGTTGGTGGCTAGATGAGGTGTGCCACAGGAAAACACCAAGGTGGCCCTTAGCTCAGCACCACCTTCTCCCGGGCAGATGCCCCCTGAAGGTGTGAGCTACGGGACATGTCAAGTCATGTTGGCGCAGCTGCTGCTGCTACTACTACTACTACTACTACTACTACGACTGTTGCTACTTTTACTATTACTGCAACTATTCTAGCGGGTTTCGCGCTCTTCGCCTCTCGGGCCCTCAGGAGACGAAGCAAAAGTTGTTGACAAAGTGCGAGGCCAGGAACTTTGCTAGGAATTGAGCATTGGTTGAAAGGGGGGATTATGTAGGGGAGTATATAACACCCTGTGTCTAGGATTTCGGGTTTAGGGTCTAAACTCCTTAAAGGGGGGATTGGATTGTATAGGGGAATATTCAAGGGGTTATTAAGGGGGATACTAGGAGTTTAGAGCATTCATGCTCAGAGTGCTCGTGTTTCCCACTCAAACGTGAAGGTACATCTTGGGCACACCCCTCCAAACCTTCCATCTTTCACAAACACGCAATACGCTACACATGTAGTCTGAAGCTTTGTAACAATCTTCACATCAGAGCATCGCTGAAGAAAGCTGGGAGCTATTGGGCGCGGCTGAGGGGGGCCCATTGTACTTCAGAATCTCTTGATCGCTGACCATCATGGAGATGTAATGGCCCCAGCGCTTTCCAACTTGTAAAGGCGTAACGGGTGACTTCGAAAATCTAACCCTTTTTTTTTTTTGGAGCCCTGCGCAAGACCAAATTATACCAGGCGCCCTCAACTCTGGGCCCGAGGAAAGCCACAATTATGTGTATGGGTGATTTTGCAGTTCTGCAGCAAGGGTAGTAGGAAGAAGAGCGGCAACAGGAGTGGTATTGGTACTGGAAGTGGTTGTGCTACTCATGCAATCGAATTGGAACAATGACGACCTACCACAGCACCGCAGCAACAGCAGCGGCGGCGGCAGCAGCAGCAACAACAACAACGACTGTTGCTGCTGGAGGCGGGGCAGGACCGTCGCTTGCGTCGGTTGGCTACGGGCTCAGCTGACCTCCCCAGGATGACTGGGTAGCAATTGTACAGGCCTGAATACTTCGGAATAGTGTGCCCTGTAATCCTTGCCATAAAATCATGGTATAACATACCGCAATACCAATCCTTCAGGCCGCTACATCATTACGTCGTTTTGTTCAATTACTTTTTGTTGAATCCATGCAGGGGTGGTCTGCATGCTTGTGGAGATTGCCACCTCTGCTGCCAGACGGTTTTTGTTTCCAAGACGTTCTGTGAAAGCAATCTCGATCTCCAGTACGCTTGCTTCGCAACTCTGAGGCCGCCTTGACTTCATGCCTGGCTTCTTGGCGTGCAAGCACCTCCCCAGCCCCAGTGTATATTCGCAGCATAGTATGGTATAGGAACTTGACAAAAAATATATGTATATAAGGTGGGTTTTTCCTAGCACGTTTATTGCTACGCAGCTCAGATCCACTCAACGGCATGAGGTGCCCCAGCGCGTGCCTCTGTTAAGGGGGCCCTGCTTCTAGCACCGCAAACACTCCCACACTCGCCCAATTCAACGAACATTGTAACTAGCGTAGATGCCCCATGCACTGCGATATGTGTAAGGTGGGCCGTGGTCTTCATATTCGAGGGAGGGGTTATTCCTTGAGGAATCTGGATCACCGTTAAGCATCCTTCGCGCAACGGAGAATCAAGGGAGTATGACAAATGGGATAGGATTGTCAGTGCCTGGGTTTCCTTATGCAAGTACCAATGCGAAACGTAAACTTTTCGTCCTAACGGAATAGGGACTCAAGCCAGGCATCCCTGCAAAGCAATACATAGATCAAAGCTGTCAATAGGACCTGAAAACTCTACCCCAGACTGAAGCAGTGAGGAAAGGGCAAAGGAGTGCGTGAGACGTGCGAAGGCGCGCGTGAAGCTTTTAGTTAGCCCTAGCAGCGTTGCCGCACGCTTGTCATGCTCCGAAGTACATTGACGGCTCACGGGTCAATAAGGTGAACAAGACAGT